ATTTAAAAAAACCATCGTGACCCCTGAATGACCTTCAAAATGACCTTCCAAGGATTTTTCAAGGTCAGTACCATACTTCCCCCGTGTAACCCTAAACTTTTCATACGAAACATTTTTCTCTATCCCTACTAGTTTTCGAGATATTTGACTGGATCACTTCAGATGGTCCACCCTGTATTTATGGATATATTATATATTATACCTATATTATATATATTATTATGGATATATTCAATAAAAATATTTATGATAAATATTTTTATTGAATTTGAATGAGGAACAATTAAACGTTTCAACTTCACATTTATGAATCATCTTCAGTAAATACAATTGATTCTACTGCTCTCTCTCTCTCTCTTAAATAAATATATTTTACATATATGAATTATTCCATTCAAAGTATATATAATAAATTGTAGAAAGTATATAAATTGTAAACGTCATAGTGAAATTAAAATGATACACATGGTCAACGTCAACAATTATAAATTCCTCATATTGAAGTAGTAACGAAATCTCGTCGAAAATTATTTGTCACAATGAATCAGTATTATATTAATTTCTATAATTCAAATTTTTGAAACGTGAAAAGATTAATGATCAAAGAGCTCAGGAATTTTAATATTTTGTATGGAAAGAACAGTTTTGCAACAATATTAAAAAATTTAATTAGATACAGACGTAAAAATAATTCTATTTGGATCATCAAAATAATTATGTAAAATGCTTAAATTGATTGCTAGAATGTTAATATCTTTTATAGCGTTGGCTCGTCAAAGCTTGAGTACATAATTATTTTAATAATTGTGCATCAAAATTATTTCCAGATCTATATTTAGCTAAATTTTTACATACGTTATTCAGTAAAATTGGTCTTTCCATGAGTATTGTATTAATTATATATCTAATTAAAAAAAAGAAAAAAAATTGAAATGATTATCAAAGCCAAAATGGCACCATCATCGGTTCTGTCAAATCTCGTGAGACTAGTATTTATAGTAACTTTTTTTTATTTTAGTAGATATTTAATTATATATTTTCTTGGATTATATTTATACATGGAAAAAACGATTTTGCTGAAGTATCTAAAAATTTAGCTAAATATAGATTTGAAAATAATTTTGTTGAGCATCAAAATATTTTTATAGGAATCTTAAACATGATGAGCAAAATATTTTGACATTTTAGTAACTGGTTTAAGCGTCCTACATAATTATTTTTAGGATCTAACAAAATTATCTTCAGATCTTCAGATTTATAGTTAAACTTTTAGATACTTCGGCAAAACTATCCTTTTCGTGTAGGAGCGAGTTCTTTGAATTCACGCATATTACATAAAGCATGGCATCGAAACAGTTAAAATATAAAAGCGAGTGGTAAATGAATATAGCTTTATAGAGCGCATCGTGTTACGTTGAGGCGAAGGCGCGTGAAAACTTTTCTTATCCAACAGCGCGAAGTTCTGTAATCATCGGACTTTCAGCTTCACTTTCCGCTGCACCTGCCGCAGCCGTATTCGCGAGATTGCTTTGTTAGTTATTTGTTGACGAACTCAGTTCGCTGTGACGAATAGACGTTTAATGAGCTCGTTTCATTGTAAAATGTTTGTATAACTTGTCGCCGGATCTCCTCCGGATCGGCGCTCATCATTATCCGCTTCGCGTTAACTGGGACCTATCTCGTTTGGAGGTTGGGTACAAAGAATTCATCGACAATTATCAATGCAGTTGGAAAGCTTCCTCGCTTTTATAGAAGCAATGCCATTAGGTGAACGGAAGCTTATCAATGTGTGGGATTATAGTTGGGTGATATAAAATGAGTCACTCGACAAACAACTTCGACCTTTTGATAATCAATCTAATCGGTATCTGTGATAGTTTTTTCATTTACTGTATTGAAATTTTTCATTTTCTGTTTATATGTAATTAAATTAAACAACAGAGATTGGATTTATTATCTAATGGATTGCGAATTGCCATACTTTTATATCGAATGGACTTTTAGAGAAAATTTCATTTCGTGATTTAATCACGAAGAAATCAAGCGTTAAAAAAGTAGATAAAATTGTTTTCCCATGGACTTTTTCCTTTACTATAATTATGTTCAAATTCTTTATAAAGTTTGCGATTAAAAGTAAGGTGGGGTCTCTGAGGCACTTTGTATTTTCTCTTTATCTTGAGAAAACTCTCCATAGCTTTGTCACGATGAGAGACGAAACGAAAGTGAGCTTATTGTAGAGAGATAAGAAGCGACGATACATAAAGCTAACGATGTGGTTGCGGCAGCTTGCAATATTGCGAATGGATAGAAATAATGATATCGTTTCTCCGTTTCCGCTATTTTTTCAAACGAAAGTTCGCGTTCATTATCCGAGCTGGGCTCACAAGAGCATCGTCATCTATCTGTTTGATCTGTCATTGAGACAAGTGATACGTAAGTATATGACGACTAGTTCGATTACGGAAATTCAATACTTACTCGACTGTAAAACCTTGGTTATTGTTTTGAACGTCGGATCGGTGTAAACTTGAACGTCGAACCCGAGTTTGTCTAATGATGTTTTGAGGTCCAAGGTGTCCTTTTCGGAGCCCTCTCGCGTTCCCATGTTCTGGAAGTGCACGTGGTTCAATATAATCGCTACTCCTCTTCTTTTATGCTTCATATTGTATTCATCGTTGTCCGGATTGAGATTTCCGATTTTCACATTTTTCATGGCATCCACCATATCCCTTGAAATATTACTATACATGTTAAAAATTATCCAAATTTATTTAGAGATATTCAATAATAATAGAGTTAATTGTAATAAAGAATATTATTATTTAAAGCCAATGTGTTAGTACACTGAAAAAAAATTTACTATGTCTTAATAAATATTTTTTTTAATATTTGTAAGTAAACATTTATTGAATATTAACGTATACATATTTATTTGATACAAGAACTATTAATTTGATTTAACTATGATTTTTCTTCATTAAGTCAATATTTATTTACTATAAGTAAATGTTTACTTATAAATATTAAAATAAATATTTATTAAGGTATAGTAAATTGTTTTTAATGTATCGTGTTTTGTTTTAAATGCGAAACAATGCATGACACAGGAAATTCATTTTAATTCAATAAGAATGGTCGATATCTTTTGAAATTATAATTAAGTTTGTGATGACTATATAATATTACATTCTCTTATCTTGTCATAGAAAGTTGGTATAATGTTATTCCGAAGATGCTAAAACTTATCTTCCCAGTCGATCTTATTAATTAATTAATTAATGTAGCAAATGACATCCTACGACATTATTTTGGAATATGTTGAAGGGTTTCGTGAGTTTTGATGTGTTTCAGACGAAATAGCATAGATAAAGAAATGTACTGCTATACGCGAGATGCGAGGAACAAATGATTCTGTGGTTCCGTCATTAATAACACGACGGAGCTGTAGAATGAAATGAGCGGAACGCAGGATAGTTATTTATATCTCGGTTGGATCTTAATTAAATTTTATTTTCCGTGGGAAAACGTATTTTATAACAGAATTTTTATTAATATTAACGCTTTTTTCTTCTTGACATTATACTGCAAATAAAAACGTTCGTTTCGGCGAAACAAAAGTTTACACGGCTTTAATGAACGATCTCGCGGATGAGAATACTGGGGTGATAATTTCGAAATATTTTATGTATGTAAAACAAAGAAAAAAAATATCGGATTAAAGTTTCTAGGATTTCGTTTTCAATGGATTAATTATACCGCGGATTATTCTCGATGTGCATTTATTTGAAAAGATACGATAAACTTGCGTATTATTCTTCCAAATTTTTTGATATCTTTGTCTAGTAAAACCTAACCAAAGAAATTGGTGTAAGTGCGTACATTAACCGGAGTAAATGCATTGTACACAAAGAGATAAATAGAAGGAGAAAGAGGGAGCTAGGAAGAGAGAAACATGTACCCGACATAGCGGATGGAATAAATGTCAGTAGTATTTAGTGGAACGTCTCTTTGTGCAGTTGGTGTAATTAGGCGGTAGCTAGTTGTAGAATTCCAACTTGAGGACAGTCGCAAATAGATGGTCCGGGTGATGCGCGGCAACGGGAAAAGAAGAGAACACAACGAACCGAAAAAGAGGGGTGGAAACGGACGTTTCCGGAACGTTTTGCCTCTTTGCTGTTAGTTTCGGGAAGAGAGAGGGAGAATATCGGAGCATTTCTCTTCTAAAGGCGAGGCGGACAGCAAAGGAGGACCTTATCCGGAAAAGTGCACCCAGTTCCACTTCGTTCTTTCCACTCACGTGCGCTTACGCAGACGGATATCCTGTTTAGTTGAGGGACTCGAGCGGTACCGCGGCGGGATCATACCGCGGTCAATTTAATTTCAACTTAGATCGCAATCGAGAACTTCCGCTGCGATTCGACGGCGTTTTATCGTGCGGCAGCCTGCCGGCAACTTTCCGCGGCTCTCGCACGTACGCGCGATCCAACTTTCGCAAGTTACCACGATTACGACTGCTCCGGATCGGGTCGGCTACGCTGGTCGAAAGTAAATCGGCGGTATTATTGCGCAGAATAGCGCGAGGATGCGGAGGTAGAACTGTCTGAGCTCCGTTCAACTGAATGGACCGTAAACTCGAGGCGTTTAATCCTCGCGTGGTTAGGTGCGTGCTTGTAGAAGTTCTGGTGAACCACAGCCAAATATTACATGCTGCACCGTAATCTAGAATAAGCATATTATGAATTTAGGCGATATATTTAATTCCAGGAATTATGAATTTGGGCAATAATTCTAGTGGATTGAAAATAAGAGCAAATGAGATTATGTGTAACGAATCTTGTTTACAGAAAGAAATAATTCTATATCGCAGCTTAACGCTGTTAAACGCTTTGGAAATAATTACATAAATAAAATAAAATAAAAGTATTATAATATTCTTAATTCGATATCCGTAAACTAAAGAAATGTTTTATTGTCTTTTATAGATTCTTATGTTAGTTTTTATTTATGTAAGAGAATACTTGTCCTTTATTCTACAAGAAATTTTTTTTTTTAATTATATAAATGCGATTATATTCAATTCTTGCGTATATATGTATATACACATTTATATCTTTGTTGTAGCATTTCACTGGTATCTTGATATTTTTTTGTCAATATGTGTTCTGTTCTACATATAGCATTTCGAATTTTGTCAAAAAGCTTTTGTTTTATTATTCTTATTGTTAAATCGAGGTCTATAGTCATTTTTTGTCTTGCAATATCGCATTTCACTATTCTTAAAAAAAAAAACAATGGAATTTAACAATTTCTTTTTCCTTTCTGTTTTTTTTCTCGTTTTTTAAAATTTATGAAATTTAATATTTCGGCGTTTATAAATGGTACCAAATAATTTAGATTATTATCAAAATTTATTATATTTATGATATACTCTGTAAAAAATGTAGTATTTAAAATTACGTTTCAAACATTCTTGCAAAATAGACGTTTAATAATAAAAGGTATTTTAATTTTAGTGTTTTATAAATGTAAACACTCTACAGTTTTTTATTTATTGAAAAAGTTTAAAACTAAAACAACAAACTATATGTATGTGTGTGTGTGTTTAAAAAATGGAGACACAAGAATAAAACATTTTAATATCTTAAAATTAAATACTTCTTTTATGAGTGTATGGAACACATCTGGAAATCTGATATTATATTTAATATTATTTAATATCGGATTAACTTTGCACGTATTGAAAATTGCATTTTTTTAAAAATAAGTATAACATTATGGTGAAGTAGAAAAACCCTAGAATTACACAGTAAAAAATCGTGCGTCTACATGTAGAATTTTTCTTGTGTTACCACATTTTGGTTATTTCTTCAATATAAAATAAACATACAACTGATATGTTATTATTTTTGTAACATTTTGATGTGTTAGATTCATGTCACCTTTCTAACTTAACAATTGCATGTGTCAATTAAAAATGGAATATTATTTTGAGCGTTTTTAACACAATTGTTTCAATTAATCTATATATCTCAAAGTCAATTTAATATCTAAGAATTTTTTCATTAACATTATACAAATTATACATGTTTTATTAACATTTTATTAATATTTTCTTACGAGTTACTGCAACTACTCTTCTATGTACTCTACTTATTTTATATGTTAGTTTTAAATCACCCTTAAAGTCAAAATAACAAATATCAATGTAAAATATTGTGTCAATTATTTAACATTACTAGCTCGTTAATAAATAACACAAAACGAGTGAGTTACTTTAACTTAAAATTTAGAGTAGATCTCCTGAGATATATGTAAAAAATATTAAAATTAACATTTTCTTTTTTACTGTGTAAAGAGCATAAGAGTTATCGCTTGAGTGATTCTTGCTCAGCGGATGGATACGCTGATGTATACTTGAGATATACATATATTGGTAAATATATGGAAATGGTATGCACGACCATATCAAGAACCCTCAAAATATATAAGGGATGAGAGAGAGGTAGAGAGAGAGGGGGGGGGAGGCAGAGAGAGAGAGAGAGAGAGAGAGAGAGAAGGAGGGAGGGGAGGAAGGGGGGAGGAATCAGAGGCAGATAGAGAACAGAGAACGGATGTGACAAAACCACTGCGGGGTGCTTACGAACTAGTCATAAACGTGGTGAGCCAGTGGCCATTACGAGACAAATGTTCGTCGTGGGAGAAGTGAGTTACCGGCATTACCGCGAATACTGCGGCGTTTACTTTGGGCTCTAAAACATTTTGCGCCTAACGGCCTCCAACTCCCCGCTATTATGAATATAAATCTAGTCCGCCGTGGCTTGCCGCCCGCGCAAATCCCCGTCCTTTTCGCTATCCGACAATTACACCAACCATGCGTTATGCGCGGCTGCGAGAATAAGCGCATAATGCGCGATGGAGCACTATACGCTCCCACCTGTGCATGAAGACCTTGATAAAAAAAAAATAATAATGCAATACCAGGAAGGATAATGTCGTAATTCTCGTGATCGCGCTTTATGAGCAAAATTCGATTCCATGTAATCGCGATTGGTACCAAATCGTTTTAGATGATTTCGTTCTAAAATTGGTTCAAGATGTAGCTATAGAAAACGACGGTGAATTGCCATGAGAGTGAAATTTTCTTTAGAATGACATTTTTTTTTTTTTGCAGCAGTCTCGGAATAGAAATATTTTTGTTTGAAAAACAATAATCTAAAACTGAAAAATTAATATATTATCGATTATATATCGCCATACGTTACATAGGTTACACGTGAGTAATAAATATACAGCAATATTTAAATGAAAGATGAAATATAGTCAAAGATATTTGCAATTGAAAATAAAATGAGAGCAACCAAAAGGAAATAATATCAAAAACCGTTTTTGTTGTGTTTCGTCAATATTTTGTTTTACTTGACTATATTTGATTTTATTTCTTTGTTTGCGTTATCATCAGTGCTGCGACGGAAAATCAGATAAAGAGATAATTATCTCCCAAATTCTTTGTTAGAGATAAAGAGTTAAACGAAAATAAAACAAATGCAAAACGAATTATATATTTTTGGTATGGACACTTTTTATGACTTCTATTGAGAATAAATGCTATAAAAAAGAATGTAAAATTATGATGTCTATATTAACAACTTTATTTGTTCCATGCATCAATCGAATGGAACATGAACCGAAAGAGTTTCTGTTTACAATAAAAGTTATAAAAGTTCGTAAAGTTAGTAGTTGACACACGTTTGTATCTGTTTCAGCGAATGAAAGAGGAGAAAGCGCTGAAAAGCACACCATTCGCGTCAGTCGCATGTCGATTATTTGCAGTACCTCCATATCTCTGCGCTTTATATCGGTCACGACGTGACGAAGTGGTGCTTACTTTGCCTTCCTGAACGACCATCCGTCCGGCACGCTCCGTTGCGATCCGTCCGGTGTTGAAATGTTCCACTGTTCCTGCTGCGGAGTGTACTTGTCGTCCGCCTGCATGTTGCCTCTGGTGGTTGCCATCTAACGATCTCTCGATTTGCGTTTATCCATTTACTGCCGTTTGCTCTCACCTACACGCTAAAAGACGACATGTCCCGCGCGCACCAAATTTATCTTATCGACGTGCTCGTTCGAGGAAACTCCTGATAAAAGCATCGTCGATAATACTTGATAATCTATAGCACTTTCGTGCCTAGCGAGAACGGTCGAATGTCTGCAAATTTTGGATGTTCTCTGATATCCGACATGGCATGTCTTACTGAAGTGGTAATTGCAACTGATTGTTTGGGTAAATACCGGATGAGAAATGCTAATTTTTATCCAATGTGTCGTAGACAGGCAAAACAAATAATCTCCCTGAAATATAATAATCAAAAGCATTAACACTATCTTAATCTGTAATAGAAATATATATTTTTGTGATATTAAAGAAACATATAAGTGGTCTTTAAGAGTCTTTAAAGTTTTTTGTTGTTAGTTTTATAGATGTTTTAAAATTGTTAATTAATAAATAATTGCAATGTTTGTACTTAGCGTAAATACATACATAGAACAATTAGCCTACATGAATAGAACGAACCAGTAAAAAATAAAATTGTGAAATAAAATTAGTGCACATTATTCCAATTAATACACAAAAAATTAGGAAAAAAAGGATCATCAGAACTTATGTGTTCTCGCAGTTACGAGTTAAACTTTTTTCAATAATTGTGTGAGATAATATTTCCTATGATTATCATTATATCATGACATTATTATATTACTTTAATTCTGAATTATGATACATTATGTGGCATTTGCTAGATATATTATTATATTTTCTTTTCCTATAAGAATAATAATTTTTAATAGTATCTCGAATGAGCAATTTTCGTATTGAAAAATTTAATATATGTTAAATAATTAATCGTATTTAGAGGAGAAGAATATCTTGGCTTGTGTGTGTGTGTGTGTGTGTAATTTTTGTTTCTCTTCACGCTATATAGTGCAAGTGGAATTGCAAGTGGAACGTTGGGTTTTCATTCTAGTTGACCAATATCAACAACCAAGTCATCTCCTCTCGCAATTTCATGTTGAGGATATCGGAGTTTGTGACGTGTTTAATCGGCATGCGGCTCCTCACTATTGTAGCTTGAATTTCAGTGCTCCAGGCGGTCTACTTTGCTACCACTTAACGACCAACCGTACAATCCATAACGATATTTGACGATGCATGGCTTTCAGTATGATAATCAGTATGATGAGTGTGCTTTATGGGTGTTCTTGCGTGAAAGGAAATCGGCACTTCCCAGTCGGTGTTGTGGTGTTGAGTCGCCGAGTCTTGAAATAGGGATGCACACTTGAGTGAATCAATTGCGACATCCTATGGGGCGAACGGATACCTAAACGTAGTCGTATAATAAGAAAACCGCCAGATATCGGTGGTATTTTACGCGAAAGCGCCGCCTTTAACATTATCGTGGGGATTTATGTGCACGAGTTTGTTCCAGCCAGCACCTTACACGTTGTACTAGTCGATCTTTTTTAAACCTGACTTGAAAGGGTCGTTCATTATTCAGGCCTCGTAATCGGTCTTCGTGACAGCGAAGGAAAATATAATAATCTTAAAATTGTAATAATCTTCGTTAAAAGTATAAAAAATAAAGAAATGTTGAAATACGAGCATGTATAAATAATAAGTTATACTATATCGTTTTATAAATAAATCAATTAAGGAAAGAAATGTCAAATACAGTCAAGGCTAGATTTTGGAGCCTAATAACATTTCTATGCCAATTTTTAAATACATTTTCCACTTTAAACTGCGAAATACTGCAAAATGTATTTAAAATTTTACGTAAAAATATTATTAGACACCAACATTTAGTCTTGACGTTTCTTTATTTACTAATTAAGATAAATATGCGTTACTATAATTTTCTGGAAATAATTGATGAGAGTTACTTTATGACGTGCAAAATTATCGATATTTTTTCCGTAGTTATCCTATATCGATCAAAATTCTTATTGAACTATTGACTGAATGCATTGAGCGGTCATTTTTATTAATTTCTGCAGAATAAAACACGTTTGCGAATTTTTAATTGCGAATCGTCAGTGGTAATAGAGCACAGCTGTCGTTTTCATCAAAACTCGGGGCGGGTTTCAGTCGAGTGAGCCGATGGACGGAAATGTCCATTTGCTCGTTGCAGTGCTTACCCTGGAGCGCTGAAAGCGACGTGCGGTTCCTAGACAGCAGTGACACACTTCGACCGATATCCTGTTACCCAACGAAAATCGCCAGTCATGACATATAAAGGCGACATCCACTTACATCGAAATTTCTCTTCGAAACTTATCATTTCTTCGTTGATGCTCTTGACGTTTACAGAACTTGATGTGTGACTGCGTCATATTAACTGTATAAATAAATGTTAAAATTGTGACACTCTAAATAATTGATAGCATTGAAATTTGCACAAATTTAAATACATTTTTTTTAGTTTTCTTGTTAATACTATCAAAATATTACGGAAATTTAATATAAAAAAGGTTTTTTTTCAATGAAATGGTTACTGCATAGCAGACCTGAATTATTATTATTTTTTTACCTGAATTTAGTATTTTAATAAAAATAAAATATGCTTTTTTAAATTAATTATAAAGTCTTTTAATTACACTTCTCTCTCTCTCTCTCTCTCTCTCTCTCTGTCTGTCTCTGCGATTGTAGGCAATCGAAATTCAAGAGTATTCATAATTTAAATTTTATGGAGGTATAAACAGAAATAAAACTATTTTATTTGATTTTTATGGACCGTATGTTAGCAGAAATTTACGGAGAGAAATTGATTGAAGAATTCGTAAATGAAATAAAGCGACTCTAGGCCGTTTTTAATCTAGTTTTATATGAAACTTAATTGACCGAAGAATATATTTTTCCTCTTTATAGAAGTAAAAAATTTTCGGATTATAAATTCGTATTAATCGTAATTTTATTACGCGAAAATAAGCAATTAATCTCTGTTATCTTATTTCTCCAGACGTACAACATGGATGCCCAAGTTGGCGAATCATCGGCGTGCGCGACGGCATTGCTCTGCGGAGTTAAAGCTAATTACGAGACTGTTGGTCTGGATTCGTCGGCACGTTTCGAGGACTGTTACTCTAGTTTCGAAGCACGCGTTCCTTCGCTTATTAATTGGGCTCAGGATCAAGGTAAGTTTTCACGTGTCGATATAAACTTACATAAAAGACAGTGATGGTAACCATAAAGATGATAACTGTACAATTTTTATATGTAGAATTAATGTATATTTACGATATGTACAGGGTGTTCTGAAATTTGAGGACAATATTATTACAGCGTGAAACTTCGTGAAAAATTAAGTCGAAAAGTCTTCTATCATTTTGCAATTTTCGCAATTTTCGCAATTTTCCAATTAGAGAATGCAGTACTGAAAAGTTAATAAAATTCTGAAAAAATTCTTTGAGCCCTGAGAAGAAAATAAACAATTTTGATCTCTTACTGTTTTTCTGTAAAGTTAACAATACTTGAGTAAAAAAGTATTGAAAACCAATATTCAGCGATATTTAATAATTAATATCTTGTCAACTATTGCGAAAATTGCAATAGTAATAATATTGTCCTCGAATTTCGGGACATCCTGTATATATGTATATACATTATTTAAACTATTTTAATTACAATAACTATTTTATAATTATTTGCAACTAAAATAGTTTATTCAAATATGTAGGGTGAATTTGGGTATTATGATCGTATGGAAAAGATAGTCATAATTTTTCCAATAATTACTAAATAATGCATTTTTATAGTCAGATTTAAGAATAATCAGTTCCTAAAAGTAAGATGGCTAATGCATTACAATATTTTGATAATATTAAATTTCTGTTAAATGTTTTCTTTTTAATTTCGACAGTTATTAATACAATAACTTATTATTACTTTAAGCTTCAGCGAAATGAAAATGTACCAAACACACACCATTAAAAAATAACTAAAAAAGTAAAAATATGTTTTTTACATTTTAAAAAGCTAGTATTGATATCTTAAATAAAAAGAAGATTATAATATATGCATGGCAGATTAATAATCTTTCTAATCAGAGCGTCATTTTCTATCGAATTTCACGGCGCGACGTTTACGATCCAACGATCTCGTCATTATGAACAAACGTAATTAATCTGCGCATATGTCCAATTTAGCAGGAACGGGCGTTAAAACGATTAAACTGCCCAAACACGGCGCACGATTAAATGCCCACGTATAAATTGAATTCGCGCTTGCGCGTCCTACGCCGCAGATGTGGTGCACATCGTATTCTTGGCGCAGCGCTTGACCGGAAGCCGATATCTAATTTACGGCTGGCGCTAATTGCACAAGCTAGAGCGACTCCACCTAATGGAAGATTTCACGTGCTGTTTATTAAATCACGCCGTACACACGAGAATATTCTGGACGTTATGGTTACCGAACTTGCGCATTTTCACTGTCTTGCAGTTCGAAGCTTGGATGTATTTATGGCTTCGTGTATATATATGTGCGTTACATGCTAATCCACATATTTACTGAAAAACAAGAATTTGAAGATTAAATTTTCTTCTAATTGAATTCGAAGATCATAAAAAATGCTATATATTTAATGATAATTGAATTTGCATTTTTTATGTTAACTAGCACATCCCCTGCGCGCGATACGTGCGCGCTCCTCCATTGTACTATCCTTTTTAAATATTATGAAATATAATATTACGAATCTGGATTCAAAATGTTTGAATAAGAAAAATGACCGAATCATTATGACGGTTTGAAAATTTGAAAATTCAAAGTGGTTGAATCAATATGGCGGATGGAATTCTTTAGTCAAATACCATAAAAAATTTTATAATAAAATTATTCATTATTAAACGCTAATGTTACATGTGTTGCTTCAGTTTTTTTTATTTTACGTTAGAGGAGAAAATCTTCGTACACCTTCTGCCAGGTGATGTTTCATTTGAACATCAATCTGACCAGAGGAAGACACCTGGCGCCCGAGTTCACCGGGTGTGTTGAATTCGTTCAGTTCGTGTTTTCGAATAGTGAAAGCGAATATTTCTTTTGTATTCGTTTGTTCATCATTTGCTCACGATTGCTCCATCGAATTTTCGTTTGCTCACCCTTAATTCAAAAGTTATACGAAATTTAAATTTTGGGGGGCCAACTTCACAATAGCCCACAAATATTAAAAAATCGAATATTTTTTTGCATTTGTTTGCTCGTCGTTTGCAAACGATTGTTCCATAGGAATTTTCGTTTGCTTACCGTTAGTTCAAAAGTTATACGAAATTTAAATTTTAGGGGAAAGCGTTTTCCCACGAATGCTCGAATTCGAACGGAATGAGCGCAAAAATTTTTTTTGCGGATATAGGTAGCGCATAAATAGCGCATTATTCCATAATTTTTTAAATAAGATTTGGGTAAGTGGCGGGGGCCAGCTAGGCACACGTGACTTAGGAATGAATATGACTGTCCGTTCCAAGAAAGAAGCGCCTTAAGTGTTGCAGCGCAAAAACCAAAAATGCCTGGAAATAGTAGTGCATAAATAGCGCATAAATCCTATGTATTTAATTTTCCAAATCGGTTGTTTTTAACGGGTGGGCTGACTGACTGCATACTCAGTCCCCGCAGAAAAAAATTTTTTTTTAGTTAAACGGAATAAGCGCAAAAATTTTTCTTTATGGGTTGAAATAGCGCATAAATAGCGCATAAATCCTATGTATTTAATTTTCCAAATCGGTTGTTTTTAACGGGTGGGCTGACTGACTGCATACTCAGTCCCCCCCAAAAGAAATTTTTTTTTTAGCTGAACGGAATAAGCGCAAAAATTTTTCTTTATGGGTTAAAATAGCGCATAAATAGCGCATAAATTCTGTGTATTTAATTTTCCAAATCAGCTGTTTTTAACGGGTTAGCTGACTGACTGCATACTCAGTCCCCCCACAAAAAATTTTATATTTAGCTAAACGGAATGAGCGCAATAATGTTTCTTGCGGATATGGATGGTGCATAAATAGTGCATTATTCCATAATTTTTTTATTAAGTTTTGATTAAGAAGGGGGGTCAAGGGCCCGCTAAACTGACGTCTCTTAACGTCTGTCTAGTTGGCCCTTCCGCTTAACCAAATCTTAATGAAAAAATTATGGAATAATGCTCTATTCATGCGCTATCCATATGCGTAAATGTAAATTTTTCGCCCATTCCGTTTGGTTGAGAAAAAAATTTTGTGTGTGGGGTTGAGTAGGCTGTCAGCCCCCTCACCCATTACGTTCAACCGATTTGGGAAATTAAATACACAGGATTTATGCGCTATTTATGTGCTACTATTTCGAAGCATTTTTTATTTTTGCGCTGCAACCGTTAAGGCATTTCCCTCTTGGAGCGAACATTCGTATTCAAACCTAAGTCGTTTAAAATTCCCAACAAATATATCTTTGAAATATTCCTCCCACTCCCTCATCCCTATCTCCTTATTTATCCCCTTCCATCTCTTCCTTTCCCTGTTTACTATTTCCCACATCGCCTCTCACTCTTCACTTCTTCCACTTTCCTTTCCCATCTCTCATTCTCCTTTTTTTCTTTGTCTCACACAGCTCCTTACATTCCCTTTTTTCTTTCCTGTATTCCTGTCCCCCCCCCTCCCCATTACCTTTCCTCCATTCCCTTAATGGGTGGCACCCATTTGGACACGGCTGAATTGGATACGAGCCACTCACAGCGCTTGAGACTACAAAGCTCCTAGGCACCTGGTTGCTGGATTGGTGGTGTCCAATCGAGCCGTGATCAATCGGTATCACCTCCCCTTAATAGTCTTCTCACTCCCTCCTTTTCTCTACATTCCTTATCCCATCATCCCTTACACCCCTCTCCTCTTTTCTGTATTTCTCAAAACTTCCCTTATTCTTCCTTCCGTTTCCTTCATACTCTTGTTCCCCTTCCCCTCCCTCCATACTACCTCCACCAACATTTCCCTAAATACAATCCTACCTTCCTATTAAATTTCACCAAAATTGAAGAACCTTTTACATTTCCGTAACATTTCCGTAACATTACCATTCGCCATATTAGTTCAACCATTTTGAATTTCCAAATTTAAAATACGATTTCGAAACAAGCGTCCCCATAAACCTTCTAATACCAAATTCCACCATAAACGGTAAATCTTTTAGATTTCTGTAATATTTTCGACTGCCATTTTGTTCAGCCATTTTAAATTCTCAAATTTTGAACAAGATCGAAATGAACGACGCCACGATCCCCCTAAAAACAAATTACATCATAATCGAAAAATCTTTAAAGTTTCCATAAAATCTCCGTCCATCATAATGACAGCCATTTTGAATTTCGAAATTTTTATCACGATTTCGGAACGAGCGATCCCTAAAACTCCCGAATACGAAGCCACATCGAAATCGGAGTACTCCAACATCCCTTTGAAAAGAGGTTTCAAAAAAACGTGACATGCCAATTTTAATATAGGAATATTTCTTTATTATGTTAATATTTAATAGAAAACTAATTAACTGATAATTGATTAAAGACGATAATTGAAAATTGATTAAACGATAATTAATTAAAAGCAATACCTAATTGGAGAATAATTAATTATATTTTTCGTGATTTTTAAACTATTAAATATTGTTGATAAAAGAGAGTACGACTTAAACGAAAGTATTATCAAAATGAGATTTACTATTATACAATCTGTATATATTAAAGTAATAACAATATAAAAATAAGTTTTTTTGCTTTAAATATTGAAGAATGTCTATATTTATTTAAAGAATGTAAAATGCCGCTTAATACGTGTTCACGATAAGACAATCGATGTAGAAATCTTGATTATTGTATCCACAAGTTGTAATTATGCGCATTATCTACTAGACGAACCATAATGAGTCCGTCTGTGACGTCAGGGAATTCAGGACGCGCATCGTGGCATAAGGAAATCCGCATGTCAAAGGCAAGCAGGGTATTTGAAAGGGCCGTCTTGTCGGTGCCAGTAGAAAATGCAATTAGAGAAAGACACGTTTCGCGATGATGTTAGCCAGCGCTGTCAAAGACATCGTTGTTACACGACATTGTCCTGGATAAATCGCGCGAACTATATATTAACGTTTTATTATGTCGTTGCTAAAATGGTGCTGTAAAGTTAAATCAAATCTGCCGACGTATTATACATATATACTGTATGTATATATATATATGTACATATAATATAATATACATCGTTGCAGAGGTTGCTGGGTGTCTGTTGCAGAAGTAATTATCGGTGATACCGTTGTAATTGCTTCTACCGCCAAATTGTAAGTTTATGAGTGGGCGTGCTGGCGATGACGGTGAATTAACATTATACTCTGCTGAGTTCCTGCGCAGTCATCAGTAATCACTTACGGTTTGTTTGCGATGGCCGGTCGCTGCAAAGAACGGACGTGCGAACGAGTGAGCGCACCGCGCGTATAATCCGTTTGTGATGTAATTTCTTGCTCACGCGAGGCAGAGCGCAAATGTTCGTGAATATCTCGTGCGCGTTGAATAAATAATAAACACCACCGAAATATACGTTACGCAGTATCTACGCGAGCATTACGAGTTTCAGCGACGCGGATCTCGTTAGTTATTTGATGGGTGTGTGAGAGAGAGTGAGAGAGACAGGGAAACGTTTATTTATTAACGAGTCCTAGGATAATATCCTATCAAGTACACAAATACGTGCAGATACGACTAGAAATCATTATTGTTATACATGTCATAATTATATATATATATTAGGTATATATATACAGGTTGTTTCTGAAATAATGCTCACTAATCATACAGTGCTATTCCTACACTGGAAAAAAATTTATTAAATTTTAGTAAATATTTGTTTCAATAGTACTAACGAAATATTTACTATAAATATAAACACATATTTATTTGATTTAAGCATAATTTTTTTATTTTGAGTAAATACTTATTTACTGTAAGTAAATATTTCGCTAGTACTATTGAGAGAAACAAATATTTATTAAAAGCAAATTTTTTTTCCAGTGCAATAAAAACTAAGTCAAAAAGTCCTCTACCATTTTAAAATTTTCGCAATAGTTAACGAGATATTAATTTCTAAACATTGCCGAATAAACAGATAAAATCGATGTATAAGACAATGTTAAAATATCTTTCTCAGTGTTCTTTGTGAAATATTTTGAAATGTTTCTTAAAGAAAAATTCTTAAAGATACTTTAAAGTTGTCTTATACATTATTGATTTTAGACATTTTGTTGATTAAGTAATTAAAAAAGAAAATATTGCGAAAATTGCAAAATGATAGAGGACTTTTCGATTCAGTTTTTTCATTAGGAAAAGCATGAGTGGCCGTTATTTCAGAAACGCCCTGTATATATACACAATAATTTAAACTTTTAAACATAAAAATTTAGACTGCACGTGCGTAAAGTACATAAGTATGTGTGCTGGTATGTGTGTGTTATGTGAACGTTGCAACATTTGCAATGTTATTGCATCTCCAATATAGGACAGACCATTCTAGCAACATTGCAACATTCCAGTAAAATTGCAGTGACATTGCAACGTTCTAGTAATATTACAACAACATTGCAAATGTTGCAGCAATGTTGCTGGAATGATGTGTGCTGTGCGAATAGAATGTTATAACTTCGCATTCAACAATATAACTGTTATACGTAACACCATGTTAAGTTACATTTATGTTATTAAGTGCGAAATTATAACATTAATGTTATACTAATTTTAGTTTGCGTCGACTAAGTCCCTAACCTTTTTCCACTAACAAACTCGAATCTGCTATTGACAGGTGAAAAGTGATTAATCGAGAGTACAATTTCTTTGTCAATTACGGAGGTGTAATATCATCGCGGCGTCAAGGATTTTATAGACCGGGGCCAATTAACGGGATTTCTTTCTTACTAACGATAAGACGCGCGATATCGTGATATATCGCGACAAAACTCGGTCGCCGAGCGTATCGTTTCCGTGCTCGTATCGGTAACAAACAGCGGTTTGTATGTATTGTGTTTTTGAGCAGTTGACACCTTGCCAGAACCGGCCGGCGCAACTCCGGCAATATGTATGCGAGCGTACGCGTTGCTGACACGCGCTCTACCGGCGTTGTATGTACACGCGGGCATGAAAGGACGAGCTTGCTTTGGCGCGATCATTAAGATGAATGGCCCAGCTGATTAATCGCGCGCCGTTTGCCGTTGACACCCCTGGCTTTCCGCACGGCCGCACCGCGGCTTTTTGGCCCTCTCGTCGGCGGTTTGTCACGTTCTTTAGCGCAACGCTGCGACATGAGGTGATGCACTGCAGCGATGGAAATTCGACGTCGAATGAACGAGAAGAAGTATGGGAATTGAAAACACAGGAGAGAGTGCGGAAAAAACGTTCGCGGGATAGTGAAGATAATAAAGGCGATAATTGAGAGCGAACGGTACAGTTATCTATCACTCGAAGATTAATCGTCGTTCTCATGCAATAAGGCGAGAAACGTAGAATAATAAAATAAACGTTGAAGGAACGAAATGAAGGAAAAAAATACAGAGGAAATTAGAATAGATGAGAGTGTAAGAAATATGGAATTAAAGCGTAATTTTGATGTATTCTCTTCCTTTATATACATTTTATTTTATTTATCTCGTGATATATATTCATTATATACGGGGTGTTTCAAAAGTAACGATAAATCTTTCGCACAGGGGCAGGATAGATTAAACTGAGGAGAAAAGTTCTTTATCATTTTGCAATAGTTAACAAGATAATACAATAATTTTTTACTCAAATACTATCAACTTTATAGAAAAACTACAAGAGACAAAAATTGTTTATTTTCTTCTCATAGAGTTCTAAGAATTTTTTCAGAATTTTTTAATACTTTTTTCTCATATTGGTAAAAATAAAAAACTAAAAAGTTAATAAAAAATTCTGAAAAAGCTCTATAAAAAAAAAACAATTTTTGTCTCTTGCAGTTTTTCTGTAAAGTTGATAGTATTTGAGTAAAAAATTATTGGAGACCAATTTTCAACAATTTTTAGTAATTAATATCTTGTTAACTATTGCGAAAATTGTAAAATGGTAGAGTTTACTATAATGAGATATTTCTTGTGCTTATCATGGCTACGATATAAATATATTAATTTTGACATATTTATATTTTTGTTTTATAAAATAAAACATACAAAAGAGGAAAATAAATACATAAAAATCATAATATAATTATATTGCAGTCACGATAAACACAAGAAATTCTGCTACAGCAAAATGGATAGAGAAAATATTGATGTACAATAATGATGCTTTCTCTATCAATTTACTATAGCAGAGATATCACTTGTGTTCTTCTCGCAACTGCATGTGATGTCGATACCATTAAGTATCGACACTTAAAAATAAAATAAAGTATCGTCCGATCAATATCCGTTTTCATAGCGGATCAGTGGAGGTGTCTATATCCTGTTAGATGTAAACCCGGAGATTCGAAATGTCATTTGCCGATATCGCGATTTGCTAAGGAGTTCGCGCATTAAAGCGACTTCACTTGCGAAAGGGATAAGTTACGGGAATAGGACCTCCTGTCTTCGAGCTGCGGCGCGACTTACTACGGTCCATTTCATGCATCTCGAGGGGCGAATCGGAATTCCACCGGTTACATCCGGTGCTCCGGAACTCCTTGAATTATCATCTTGAATCGCGGGTCGTGCGCGACCTACGAAATCACACCATCGTTTCGCCAATCGGAAAGCGGGGAACGAATTGGGTACGACCGCCGAGGATCCGGCGGACGATCCCGTAGGAATATTTACGTTCGTAAACCTCCGACCCAGGAACATCTTGATGTAGGCCATTTCGTTCCTTTTCGGTGAAATTTATGGATACGCATAAAAAAGAGACCGTAGCGTTCGCTGAATTTTTTCGCAATTTTGCAGGATTAAGAATGGGCTGTTCGGGTTACCACATTTCTTGAATGTAAATATTCGGGAACGATTTTAAGAACTTTCCTTGCAAAAATTCGATCGGTACACCAGCTGTTTTTACAATGTTTTAATTTTAAACTTCAGATAACTCGACAGCTAAGCCTCAAATTAAATTCCTCTTAAAGCAGAGTCACTTGAAGTTAACGAAGAAACAAAGTTCTGTCGTATACTCACGCCGCGTTACTAGAAGCCTTTACTGCTTGCCAAAATAATTTAATCTCCGGAACAAGATATATAATTAAATATCAGTTTAATGACTTTAATGTTTTTGTAACAAGGTTCTTAAAACTTGCGCAGCTGGATTCCAATTATTTCAAGGATGTGAAAAGAAAGACGGATAACTCTTTAAAAGTTTTATCACGATCTTTACGTATAATGCATATATAATAAGTTTAACTTGTTAACAATCATTAAATTTGTATTAGTTTCATGTATTACAATTTTAATTCCTTTTTTAATTCATATATTACAATTTTATTTCCTTTTTTAATTTAATTGTGTATGGAATTCATAATAGGTGCTCTTTGTGAATGGAAATCTACTTTTTGGAATATTAAGCCCTCTTCTTTTTTAAATTAATATTTAAAAAAATTTTATAACGATTATATAATAATTTAATATAATTATATAATTGTTAATTGTATAGTAATTGGTACTTTTATAAATTTGAAAGTTGACTAACATCATGGGTTTCAAATTCACACCGTGGGTTTTAAATCCATACCATGATGGTATTGATATAAACACCAAAGATTTTAATCCACACCATGTTGATGTTAATATTAATACCAATACAATGATAATTATATAGACACTGCATAGGTATTTAATCCACTCCAGAGATATTAAATCCATACCGATATTTTTTTTAGAGTGTTATATTAGTTTATTTTTCTGCGAAATGCAGTTGATTTGGTTTTTCTTCAAATTATTCGTAATGCTGCAGCATATTTTTTCAAGTCTAAAATTGATATTAACCTCCAAATTGACATTGATAATTTCGTTTTTTGTATGACCGACAAATAAAGTCGTGAATTAAACGAGATCACGAAGTGATAATTTCGAGTAGAGATATCAAGATCAAAGAGACCCTCGGTGAATCTTTAATGAAGAACCATGCATCGACACACTCGGGTCGATTAACATCGAGCCACCTATGCTACAGCCTGCACTCCTGTAATTACTGATCCTGGTAGAGAACTGTACACGTTGCATAAGCTCTGCGTGCCAAGTTAATTCCTTAGCCCATTCTCGTTAAACGAAACCTCCGTCGGCTGGCAAGATTATTGTGAGTGCTTGTGTAATTAACATACGATCTCTGAGTCGAGCGACGCTTTGTAATTTCGATTTTCTGATTGTGGCCAGACTTTCAAACGTAACATTGCTCTACTTTAATCGACAAAGGTCAATTACTAGTTTACAAATTCTAAATAATTTTTAGTACAAGAAAAGAAAATAACTTTTATAAACGTAATTCAGGGTAAATTTGAATTTGCTGCCAAAAAAATTCTATGGCATTAAGTCGAATTTTTAAGATATATCAATTTTAAAATGTAGCATGTCATTTTTAAGATATGTCCTTTTTTTCAAATAAATTGAGTGCGACAAGTGATGAACAAAGCAAATATTTCTACCAGGATTTGATGGTAATTGAAAAAAGTTATCAAGATGAAAACATGCTAGGCTATAGTAACTGTTGACACAGAGAGAATTTTTTCTTAGAGTTTACCCTGAAAATATGGTCGTGGGACAACATTGTATTTCGAAGAATTTTAATGTAAATCTTTCTCATTCATTAATATAATTACAATAAAGTATAAGTTTGATCAATTTTACTGAAGTGCATGATAAAAATCTACAAAATATTGTACCACAATTACATATTTTCAGAGTAAATTAAAAAAAAAATTCTTTCCGTGTACGTAAAACTAATCTAAAATAATATGAAAAACAAAAATTAAACAATCAACACTTGATTTGTTTTAATTTAAAACTTTTTATATTTGTTTAAAAAAATATTTTAAATCTTATTGGTTCTGATAGAAATATTTTGATGGCAGATTCTACGTCGAAACAGTCTATATACTCTTATATAAAATTTTGTAAACCAGTGTTATCAGGAGACGCGGTAGCGGCTCCCGTCAAATATATTTTTGTAGTACATAATATAATATTATATCTATACATATATAATATGAAGATAGTATATATATTTTTGAATGTCAAAAGAACGATTAAAAAAACATCTGCCATAATGAATATTACATTTAGTCATATCCTTGTTTTCTGAAAATGAAACTATATATTTGAAATGTTGTGTAAATGCAAATTTAGATTTTGAAAGGATTTATTTTTATAATCGGGGGGGGGGGGCAATGAGAGTATTATGGCAATTTTAAGTTATATTTGGAAATCATTTTATATGTACTCCGTATATAACCGTAGAACATTAAGTATTTTTTCAAAAAAGAAAGATTAATCCCAAGTTTTTGAAAGATTCATACTGTCATTAACGCTCATTTACACTTGAGAATAAGTAATTTAGTGTAACCGCATCGTGGTTAAAATACGATACAGTCAATTCGACGTTTCCCTGAATAATACATCGGCCGACCTCGCCGGTAATAATCCCCGTACGGCTCTAACCCCTGCTCAGTTCGACATTCTAAAATCCACTTCGCCCCCAATGAAGTATAAATCGTACTGATTCGCCTCGGGGGTCACTACTCGGGGAATTTGTCTTCCGGGTCTACGTCGGTGACGGTGCACGCTTGGCCCGCTTAAACGCGATAAAGTCAGATGCGGATACGAACGACTGCGAGGATCCGAAAGGGTGATTTACGAAAGCACGTACACGTCGCAAACTTTACCGGTGGAGAACAAGAAGAGAAGAGGGAGGGAGAGAGAGAGAGAGAAATCGTACAAAAAGATGAAGAAAGGGAGGAGCAGAGGAAGGAAAAGAGAAAAATTCGCCGCGAAAAGACAATAATAGGGTTTTTTTGATCGCAGGCAAATCGACGGGGCTGGTTACAACCACCAGGGTTACACACGCGACACCAGCGGCTCTTTATGCACACGCGGCCAGCCGTTACTGGGAGGACGACGGCAAAGTGCCACCTGCTGCACGTACCTCTTGCAAAGACATTGCGCGTCAGCTGCTTGAGGACGAGCCTGGCTGTAACATTACTGTACGTAATAATATCCTTTTGTTCA